CCCCCCCAAATGATTTTTCCATTTCTAAAATACCTTTGAAAATGAAAAAGACTAAAATACTCTTAAAATAGATGGAAAATTATATGGTGTTAAAAGTCATATGATAAATAATGGATTTTGAAAAATTAAGGTGACATTTTTCTTAAATTTTTCTTTAAGGTGACAAACTGAAACTGAAGTATAAGTTCAAGTGACATGTCTACAAAAATCCCTTACAAATTTCAATGTGGCTTTTAATAAAAAGGCTTATGAACATAAGTGTTTCTTATAAAACAATCACAAACGAGCCTTAAGTTTGGATGACGAGAGAGTTTTAGGAGGAATAGAGGGAATTAAATTGCCTACTTGTCGTGATGACATGGACAAACCAATCACTGCCAAGTAGTTTTTGGTCCTCTCTTCTTTCCATCTTCTTGGAATTATTATTTATGATTTTACATCAAAACTCTGGATAGAGAAAGAGAGCTAGAACTTGGTACTTGGCACCGCACCTGAACCAGCCAATCCGAAAATAGGCGGGCCCACTGTGATGACATTCTTTGTTTTTCTTTTTTCTTTTTTCTTTTTTTTTTTAAACCCAAACCCCAAACTATTCATGTAATAATTAATTGATGCATTTTAGAAATTAGTTGTAGATAAGCTGGATTACATTAATCTAGATAAAGGCTTTTCAATTGACCTTAGATGAAAGCATAAGAATCAGTTTAAAGAACAATTATTATTTGAGGGACACCCTTCATTGAGGGATTCCTCAAATACACCATTTAGAGTACCCTACAAAATTTTTTTCAACAATCTAAACCGTCTATTTTAAGTCTTCATTCATAGATCATCCTTGCAAAAAATCTGAAAAATTGAAAAATCATTATGGCATCTAATTGCTAGCAACAAAATAGATGAACACGATGCTTCAAGAAAATACTAAAATAAGAATAATCTAATTGAGCGGTCAAATAGTTTAGAATTCAAGTGATTTTTTGCATATATGATCTTTGAGGACTTAGATGGTTTGGATCACTGAAAAACAATGTGTGATGCGCCCTACAAATGTGTTCCTCAAATAAGCTTATTTAAGAGATCCCTCAATAGAAGCTCATTGTATATATGTAAAGATAGAGATAGGAATGAGGCATGTTACATGGTTAAATTGGAAAGATATGCTGGACAATCCACCTATTCGCCCCAAAGGAATTTCATTATATGATGAATGAAACCTGTTGGAAATTGCATGGTTAATTAAGATTATCGTCCACGTAGTTATAGAGGATTAAAATATTGGTAGAAATTCCTACTTACTTATAATTAAATGATAATATAAAAAATTATTATACATAAAACTATTATACAATGTAAGCCGTCATATCCGAGATTTGATTATTCTTTGTTTCTTTATTTATTTATTCATTGAGCTGTTATTCGGACTCTAAAATAATCATCTCACCGTTCTCTTTAATTTGATGAAGAAAAAAATAATGAAGAGAAGAGTGTGTGTATTATGACTATTTTGGAGTGTGAATAATAATTCCGGCCGTCTTTTAAGTTTAGGGAAATATTATTTAGTCACAATGACAACTAATAATAATTTGATTGGCACAAAAAAGAAAATATCACTCCTTTTGAATTGTTAGTGCAACTTTGTGAAGCTACATCATGAAAGCATCAAATTTGGAGAGTGGAAATGACCGGAATAAGTTGAAGTGTGAAAGAACCAATGGAAGGAGCTACTAATAAAGGTAGCTCAACTGTTTGAGGGCAACAAAACAATCTACCACAGAAGCGAAAATGACAAAAGCAACGAAAGAGACGGACGTTATAAAATTGCATCAAACTGAAGGTGGGCTCCTTGGGCTTTATTTTCAGTGCACAATTTGGGTAGGGAAATCGACTTGGGATTTTCTGTTCATATTTTTATGTGCTGAAAGGATCCATTTGATGTTTCTTCTTAACAGAAACTCTAAGCCTAAGACAAGGCTGTTTGGACAACAAACACAGTACCAGCACAATAGAAACAGTTTGGGTCATTATCGTGTATATTTATTTGTGTCGATTTCTCTCCGCGCACGGGTATACCTTTCGTGACATGTAACCTTCTCTCGTACAATTATGGTGCTTGTACCACACAAGTACCAAACGCAAGACACCCTCATGACAATCATTCATTCACAAGTCATGTTTCATTGTTCGAATCCCCAACAACTTCTGTATGAGAACATCTTAGGGTTAGGGTTTAAGTTTAAAACCATGATGTTCGGACAGTAAACACAGTCCCAACACACAAAATATAAGCAAATGGTTTTATTTCATTACAATCATACCAGTTTGGGTCATCGGGTGTATACTTATTTGTATATATCTCTCTCAGCATGTGACATGAGTGCACACCTCGTGACATGTAAGTTTCTCTCGTAAAAGTATAGTGCTTAGACCACAATTTCTATCGTACCACACAAATGCCAAACGCAAGACACCCCCTTGACAATCATTCATTCACAAGTCATGTCCAAGTCCACAACAACTTTTGTAACGATTAACACCTTCATGGGCCAGAATGAAACATAAGACATCATCTTCATTCCAAAGAGTTGTGTTCAACATGAGTGATACTTGGACCAAGTTCCATTCGATGGCTACTTTTCTTGTCGTTTTACTTGCAACAAAAAGGAAGCGTTATCTGAAAAACCCCATTAGAGTGTTGTGGGTTGTGACCATCCAGTCTAAGGAACATGAAGTTGATGTCCTACTCTCAAAAGGACAAAGACCAGTCAAAGCATTGACACGTGTCCCATCTCAATGGCACCCAAGTGTTGCTAAAACGACAATACCTTAAAATAGACAACCCAGGCTTGCTTATTCCATTAGAACTAAACCATTGAATTGTGAAACTTTGTGCTCTAATGCAATGAGAGGCTCTCCACTTTCCACACACCTTGCTTCAAATCTTTATTTGTCCTTCTCCTTGGCAACGCTGCCGACGGAGCTTTCTTCAACAGATAATTACCACGTTAACCTCATTATAAAAAAAGACAAAATTATCTCATAGGTATCAACAGGGATATTCACTCTTAAGTTTCTTAGTACCCTGGATCTTTTAAGAGTAGTGATCATTCAGGAATTGGGTCAAAATAGGTAGTAGGTGACAAAATGAATGCAGCCAAATAATCTGTCTTTCTCATTCCAGCATGCCTACCAGTGACTTGTTGACTAGACTGTATTGAGTGGGCGAGGGCGCATGCGGATATGTTGCTACAGAATATACACAGTTGCAAAGTCCTCTCAAATCCCTTGAAATTCGCAATCAACGAATTGGTACCACAAGTTTCTGCATGCAAAAAATGGGAATGATTGATCATCAGATATACGAAACCTTACAAAATGCCCGCCAATGCATATATCACTTAAGATGGCATGCTGCCATAAAGATCTTGCGAATATGGTGAAAAACTAGGAGATGAAATAATAGTATCCTGTTGCATTATCCGATCATCAAAGCGAGACAATGAAATAATACAAAGGTGCAAAAGAAGTCTCAGGCTACAAGAAAGAAAATATAACTGCAAGCAAAGTTGGCTAGTCTTTACATGCCATTATAAAAAGTAAGAACCCTTTATCGCTATCAACCAATATTTCTTTTTCTTCCAGATAAAAAAAAAAGAAGAAAAATATCTTTCAAAAGACTACATAAATTTTTTGTCTTGTGGCATTGACTGGCTTGAAGTTCATTGTTCCAATTTCCGAATTTTCAAGCTTTCATCATTTGGTTCAGATTTTTATTACTAAATTCAGCAGGACACATACTTATGCCCATCGGAGCTACATCCAGATTCAGATGCTAGAGAGACCTTCATCCAGAGAGACAACCTGAGGAGTTCATCATTTGATGGCACCGTACAAGAAAGACGATTCGTTCAATATGCAATATAGCTTTGTTCACACACGCGCATACACACACGCGCATGCATGATACAGCAAGGGTAAGGGAGAAGGTGGGATAGAAGAAGACTTGATGACTTACCATATGGCATGCCACAGTCACATTTGCGTCAACTTCTTAGCAATAATGGCCACATTCCTTGGGGACAATGCGGGATTGAAAATAGGTAACATGACTGCTTCAATTGAACTGCCTTGCTCTTGGAGGAACAACAATCTATCAAGCAAAAGAAAAGTTTCTAAAAGAGGCCCAAAAGCAGCTCGAAGCGACCAATAAGGTCCAATAAGTTCCTGTTGACAAAAAAAATGATAATAAAAATAATTGGTCAGCAAGGTTAACACATATCGTAAACTTATATATTTCTTTCATCAAAAAACAATAGCAGACATATCATGAAAAGAACTTGACACTTGATATACAGAACTAATCAAGTGAAAGAAAAAGTGGGTAGGGAGGGAAGAGGCGAAGGATGAAAAAAGAAAAAAAAGAAAAAGAATTCCAACAACAATTTTTATTTATTTAGTTACTGATTTTTTGTGAGAACCACAATCATTAAACCATTTCTTTTGTAGATCCTAGAGTTCAAGTAAGAGCATAAACCATATGACTTCCGCATAATCTAAGCCCCAGTCAAAGGCTATGTTGTTTGCACACCAATAAAGAATGCTTTTCAATTCTAATGAAATATACAGTAAAATCCTGTCATATACCACAAAATAAAGACAACTTTTTCTGACAAGATAAAAGTAAAAAGCATACATATAACTTTCATCAACTAAGAAGGTACCAGAAAATGGAGACTCGAAAACACAATGGAGCAAGCAGTATTTTGGGATGTGAATATACAAACAAATTTCATCAATGGATCGTATGAATAACTAACCATTGTTAGCAAGTACATGAGCTTCCAACATGAAGTACAGCATTTTTTCTTTAAGTAAAGCAAAAGTATCAGTGCGATTCTAGATAAAAGGCATGAAGTAACATACAGCAAAAGATTCAACTTGCTTCCATATTCCATGGATATCAGTTTCCTTCAGAGGCTCAAGACCAAGGCGACATAACCCCGATAAGCAATATTTCTGAAAAAGTGTATAGTTGCCGACGAATTCGCTCCTCTCACATTTGGTGGCCTTATTGGAGGAGTTTTCATTAGTTATGGATGTTGTCTCTAACACCATGTCAAAACTGTCATCTGTCACATATGTTTATATAGTTATATGTTGGAATCTAATTAGTTCGGAAGTTCAAAATGTTGATGCGGCAGCAACATGATAACAGTTGCCATAAAAAAAAATATAGAGATTTACTTTCAAATTAGAATAATGTTTTGTTACCTGTTTCCGGCTCTGTTGATTTTTTGTGAGAGCAACTTCCTGTCATATGAGAGTTTATTTCTGACAAGGAACATTTGTTTTCTTTATGGTGCAGCGAGGAGTTTGGGACAACCCTCTGTTGTCGGCGACGTAATGCCTTCCCTTGACGCCCAATTGATGGACTTGTACTCATGACTTCGGGATAGTATACACTGAGAACCTGCAGAAGACAGAGGATGTTATTTACATAGTAGAGAGAGAGAGAGAGAGAGAGAGAGGTTATAAGATGAAGGAAACATAGTAAATAATTGAAATAGTTTACAAATGTCCATAAATTCCTGGATAACTGTAAAGGTGATTACCGCATACCATCTGAAATGCAGCGCGGAAAGCATGCAACTCAAAATTATGGAGACCAGCATCATTTTCGAGGCATTTCCACCTCTCCGCACTCTAACAAAGGCAAAGCAAAAGCACAAGCTTATCTCAGAATAGAAAAGCCTTTGAGGAATAAACTAACTTAACACCTCCCCAAAGCACACAAAAGGATCCACCAGAAATTCCTTCTAGTTAACCTCCAACCCATGTTGTTGTCATTAGTCCCTTGGACTTTAGATCTATACAAATTAATAAAGAAAGAAATGACTTGCATATCCTCCCCAGTAAATTTTCCAGATTTTTCTAAGAACTCTATAAAAATTTGATCACCGTTTGCAATTTTTATTATAAAACAAAACCTTTAAAATAGTTTTATTCTCTTCACTTTTCTCTTTCAGTTGAACAAAAGCCTTCCCTGAACCTCCACACCTAAAACTGTATGGCAAAGGCCCAAGAGCCTTTTCTTATTGGTAATTGAAGTAACTAGAAATGAAACCACACAACTCCTTTGAATGTCCATGTTCTGTTCTATAAACAAGAAAAATACAAGAGAGCCCGCACCCCTCCTTGGGGAGAGAGAGTAACAATGAGAGAGGAGAAAGAAAGTAGATGAGAACCAAGATTCACCTGACATGCTAGGTCCCGCGAACTTTTTCCAAGTGAAATGCCAGCAGATATAACACCACAACTCATTGGAAAACCACATTGAGAACCAACATGGTTGAAACCCTCTTCAGATAATAGGTTGTAACAGCAGCCGACGCTAACAACTGCTTTAACTTCTTTGCACTCCATAAAGGTCCTGATGCATAAAGGTATAAATAACTACATATCATTTCACATAAAAACTAAATTGACAGATAATAATATATGATATTGTAGAATATTATTACCAAAGACCAAACACATGCATTCTTGTGTTGGCTGCTCTAGGCTACAGATATGACTCATCCGAAGACCTTGGGTCAGAGAAAACAGTAATAACAATTTATGGATTAAGTAGAACAAGAAGCAAGTAAATGCAAAGCCAAACTAGTATAATATGAATTTGGACAAGGGTTAAGTGGTGCTCAGAAATTAATCTTGAATCAGTTATTCAAAAACATGAGTGATCATAAGAAAAAGGATAGGACTAAAGAATAAAACTCGTCATTCAAGGATAGGAATGGCACCATTTAAAATATAGGTTTTTATAAATAAGCCCATTTTAGCATGACATGTTATACAAAAACCCATATAGAGCCTATTTGGAGAGAAAACCCCAAAACTAGCCACTCCCACTTGTCATTTTATAATTGGTTCTTAATGTTAAAATTTTGTAAGAACCAATTAGAAAATTACAAGTGGCTAGTTTTGGGTTTTTCTCTCCAAATAGGCTCTATAAGGGTTTTTATATAATATGTCATGTTGGAATGGGACTATTTGTTGAAAGCCCTTTAAAATATGCAGCAACCATCAAAGAATCTACTAAGGTGAGAGTTATTTGACTAACAGAGCAAAGAAGATTAAAGGCCCAGATGTAACTAAAATAAAATTGATTGACACTTATAAAATTTCAATACCATGGATAACTTGGATATGAAGCCATTGTATGCAACCATTTTGTTTCCCCCTTTATACGGATAAACGAACTTATCATGATTTCACAATCAGCTATTCATTTGTCTGTTTAACTCAAATTCCCATGTGGTGTGAAATAAACTTGGACATCACCTCATATATAATATATATCACCAATATTACACGACTTGCCACTTGTCTTATTGCAGGATGACAAAATACACATACCCAATCTATATATAGGCTAGTATTCAATAGATCATAACACTCTGTCAGGGTTTACAGTCGTTCTATCCTCAAGTATACTCATTTTAAAAGAGAGAAATATAAGCTTTGAAGCACACTGAGGAACTCACTTGAGCATTGTTACTGAAAGATCTCCGCAAGCATGAAGCCCAGCAAGAACCAATGAACTTTCGTTGTCTGCATTGCAGGAAGATTGCAGTAAAGAGACATTATCTTTATGCAGTGGTGTGTCAGCCAAAGCTTTCAACATGTCAATAGACATCACATTGCATGTGACTGTCTTAGGCACAGTCAAACTCCTGTTTCCTGATCTAGCCCCAAAAAAAAAAGTGTATCAAATATATTACTCAATCAAGTCACCAATGAAGTTAAATTCAAAGCGCTAATTATATCATAGGATATGCGACAATAATGCCAAAAAGCAACATGAAGTAATTAATAAGTCTAACTTAAGGCAGCCTACATCCCTGAACAAATCACACACACCAAAAACTGTTAACCAATTCATGGAGACAAGAAAAACAATGAGAAACAGGAACTTCCAAAATTTAATACACCATATTCATTCCTCTCCGAGGTTTGTGATTCAGGTTGGCCAACAAAAAGATGCTGAGCATATGGCATGTGTTTTCTCTCTGTCCCATATACAAATCAACAGAAAAAATAAAAAAGTAGATCAAATGTAGACCTATGGAACAGGTTATTCCAAGGAATAAACTCCCGAGTGAAACCATCAAATTACTGTTCAACCCAGCATTCACCAATGTCATTTGAGCAACCGGAACCAACAGATCTCCTCATATGAAAAAGAAAAAAACAACAACAAACAAACTAGAACAAGAAGGAAAGGAAGTTTACATACACAGATTTACGCATCTGAGCAGCATAATATTTCTTGATTTGTTCTGCACGTGCATCAGTAACCCTTCCATGATGAGAACATGCATCAATTGCAACTACCGCATGTTGGTAGTGAAAGGAAAGTACTTGTGCAAGATACCCCTGAAAAAGTAATTTATTGAAAAATGGAAAATAATATAAAAGTTCTTAGTTGTGACTAATTCCTATCATCATACTTATAAGAAGAAAAAGAAAAGAAAAGAAAAAACATTTCCTACCATTATTTTCTCATTAATGAAATTTTCTAATCTATCTTTACAACAAAAAAAAATTCTTTCTTTCTATCAAATGAAGTAGACAGTGATGAAATCTTAGGTTCCAGCAGAATGAATGTGAACCAAACAAAAGAAGTGGAAACAGAGCAGATATTGTGGAAAACTTGATCACCAATCAAAGAAAGCAGGACTACCTGACCCGAGCCAACATCAATAATTGCATTGGCTCCGACACTGTTAGCGATTGAATCAACAACAGCAGAAAGGACTTCTACCTGCACATACAAGATCATTTTTTCAATAGAATATCACTACACTCTAGACGTTCATTGTTCAAAAAGGAAAAAACGAAGCTTCGAATCAGAAACTCCTATCTAGAAATCAAAGACCAATTTTTTCTGATAATAACGTTTCACAACACAAACACAGTGAAGTAACGGATTCATCTCTATTCAATGTTTTGAACAGGTGAACAACTTACTTCATGTTTTTTCTTCCAATTCATGCCCGTAGAGAGAACGCTATTGAGTGAAGTCATGTTCATGCCAGGTAATACCTGCCACGAGGGAAGCAAAAGTACCATAAGGAAATGATATGTTGCAGTTATATGAATTTCACTCTTCTGATTTTCCTTTTGCTCTGCCGATTCAATCTTATTAATATTATCGCAATAACTTAAAAAACTGTAACTATAGCGCAAAAATTTTCATCTTATTCTTATTCCATGATTCTGCATCTAAATTTTCACATAACTATAATGAGTACATTAGAATATCGAAATTCAAATGTGAAATCAAATGCAAGAGAAATTGAGAAACGAATCCACACCGTCTGCAAGTCTTGTTGTTGTCGAGGAAGCACGAGAGAGCCCAAAGTAACAATGAATTTCTTAAGAGAAGCAGGCCAATGATCCTAACCAGTGACCACCAAAAAAAAATTCAAATTCATATCAAGCTACAAACAATGGCAACCAATTCAATCATTACCATCCACACACACACACACTCAAAAAAAAAAGGAAAGCAAACGAGTACCTGGACCACTCCACCAGGTATTTGGAGAAGATTTTCCACTGCTTCTTTCCGCAAGCAATCCATCCATTCCTTATCAATAGCTTCCCACATTCGATCCTGAAAAGCATTTTTCTTTAATTTTGATTATTTTTCTGTCTAATGTTTTCTCGGCAGCCAAACACATGATCGAGCACTGAGGAGGAATTTAGAAATTTAGAAGAAAGAACGAACCTTGAAGAAATTGACGACGTGAGCGTCCGTTAAGAAAGAGTAAGGTCTTATGAAGTCGACGATGGCGTTGATCCATTCCAGGGTCTCGCTCGCAGTTTCGCACGAGTACTTGCAGCAGCCATTGCTAGACATTCTCTCAGCTTTCTAAGCAGACTCTGCCTGTCTGAGCACGAGAATAACTAATTAAATCCTTGACCGAAGATATCCTATTGTTTTCTCTTTAAATAAAAAAATAAAAAAAAAAATAAAAAAATAAAAAACTGAAAACATAATTTTTTTTCAAATATTTTCTCTCTATCTTCCCAAAAAAAAAAGATATTTACTCATATACCCATTCTTAGCACTAAAACTATAAATAAACTCTACACCATTTAATTTGTATAAACAAACTTTAAAAAAACCCAAAAAATGATAGCTGCCCCTATTGAATTTAATTTTGATTATTAAATTACTTTGATGCCCTATTGAGTGTTTTGGGTTTTTTTTATGAGGTTTTGGGGTTGAGTTTGTTTTAAGAAATCAATGGCAGTTTTGTAATTTAAAAGAAGTTAAAAGCCTTTTTGTTATGTTGTAAACGGACTTTGGGTGTGTTTCTAAAGTCCATTTCATATACGGTGGCTCATATATGAGGTATAATAGTGAATCTTCTATAAAAAAAATCTATCAAATTAATATCCAGGATAACATAAAATTTTATTTCTATGTTTTTATTTAAATTGTAATATAAATTCATGAAGATGAGAGTCAAGTCATGTTCGGATGATGTCATTTCATATTTGTGCTTGAGTATTGTCATTTCATACTCTGATAGCTGACTATTATGGATCATCACCTAAATCTATTAGCTTGTCTCAAACACATTCTCTACTCATTTCACGCTAAGCATAAATATCAAAACAATTATATGTAGCAATAGTTACAAAAATATGTTCCAACTCTTAATCATATTCTAGCATTGAATCAAGCAGATGGGTTCGATGCAATTGGGCATCCATCTAGTCAATCCAATCAAATTGACGATTCAAATTGTAATGACCCAGCTTAGTTTGGTTTTGACCAAGAAAACAAAATCAAGAGGTTTAAAACCAAATCGAAGTGTAATGGTTTGGGTTGGTGCAATTTTGAATTTTTCAAATACGGTGGTATACTTGTATATTCATTTTTATTTTATGTTATTTTACATGTGTAGTCCTTTAATTAGATAAAAACTATGATGTTGAATTTCAAGTTTGATAAAATTGTTAAATTATTGATATTTGAATTGTAACTATATTAGTTTTTGGAATTTGAAGTTTTATGACTTGTTGAATTTTAGAATGATTTGACGTGCTAAAAAATGCAAAATATGTGTCAAGTTATGAATATGTTTTGTTGTTGTAATGGGGCTAACAAAGTTGAAAAAATGGCTAACATGATCTTGCCCATTAGAAAAGGACCTTGACTAGGTTTGAACCCCACATTGTGTGTGAGAGAAACCCCACCCCCTCTCTCTTCCCAAGGGACGGACTATAAGCATGACTAACCTAGGCTACAACACAGGTCGCTGTTTTTTTCCAGCCCAAAATATATATATATATATATATATAGCCCAGCCAATTGAATAACCTACCCTTCGAAGGAATCCTTTGCACTGCACGTGGAGAATAAAATGAAGAAGAGGAAAGCTGCACATCTTTACACATAGGGAAGAAAAGAAAAAAAAAGAATGCACAACCCATGGAAAAATACAAAGAAAAGTAGAAGAAATTGTTTATGATTGTTTCTTAGAGTTGTCGACTTTGTCACCAAACTCATATAGATAATGAATCAAAAATTAATTATTTTAATTCTATGAAGACTTGAAGGGTGCAACTTACATAGTGTTATTTGAGGAGTAAGGCTTATTATGTCCCCCCTTGATTAAGTGTATTTTTTGTTATCAATGAAATTACATCGTACTATCGAGTTTTTTTATATACTTAGTATGTTTACATATGTTTACATCTGTTGGGGTGTTTTTCCGTCGGAAGGCTCGTCCGGGCTTGTTGATTCTCGAACCTCCATAGAGTGGTGGATTAAGCCTTCGTTGCCCCTTTTTCTGAGTTAGCGAGGACTAGGCCCAAAGCATCCCGAGGGAAAAGCATGTCCCAGGGGGGTACTCTGTTCTTCTTCCAGTGGCTGCGTGTTTGATGTTGACGTTTCCGGAAGCTTGAGGAAAAGTTGAAGATGACTTGCTGATGTAGATATGAGATTATATTAGCTTGGCATGAGAGCTTGGAGTCTGGGAGCTAAAGATTCACAAGTTTAGCAAATGAGAATGCATGTGCTTGGCTTGGTGTTGGATATGCTTGAGTTTGGGGTGTTGATGATTTGTTATTTGTGGCTATGGCTATGGCTATGACTATGGCTATGGGGATTTAAGAGTTTCAAGAGGAGGATGGGAGGAAAAGCTTAAGGCTTGAAGGCTATGGTATTTATAGCTTGGAAGGGTATGAGGAGGACGGAAAATCTTGATTGTGATGGTTGATGAATAGCTGGGATGATTGCTGGAATGCTTGCAGCAGCCAAAGGGAGAAAGGAAAGTGGTTCGATGGTTGCTGGGGGCTTGAGCAACCAAGAGATGTTGGTTGACAGTTGCTGGGATGCTTGCAGCAGTCAAAAGATGGAGGTTGATGGCTGGTTTGGCTGCTGCA